GAGGTGGGGGGGTTCAGCCTGGAGAAGAGAAGGCCAAAAAGGGGAGACCTCAGAGCCCCTTCCAGTGCCTAAAGGGGCTCCAGGAGAGCGGAGGAGGGACTTTTTCCAAGGGCATGGAGTGATGGGACAAGGGGGAATGGCTTCAAACTGGAAGAGGGGAGATTTAGATGAGATATGAGGAAGAAATTCTCCCCTGTGCGGGTGGTGATCCCCTGGGGCAGGTTGCCCCGAGAAGCTGTGGCTGCCCCATCCCTGGAGGTGGTCAAGGCCAGGTTGGACGGGGCTTGGAGCAACCTGGGCTGGGAGGAGGTGGCCCTGCCCAGGGCAGGGGGATGGAACTCGACAATCTTTAAGGTCCCTTCCAACCTAAACCATTCTATGATTCTTCCAGGCTGTGGGAGGCCAGTTGACTCCCTCGAACTGGCTGTGTTGTACTGGTTGGCTAAAATTGAGGAAGATGAATCCTACCCAGACCTTAATTGTATTTTATGTCTGGGAGTGAGACCCATTTCACTGCAGTTGTTCCAGCAGAGAGTTGTGCTAATTTCACAGCCCTCACACTTACTTTTCACAGTAATGTTGTTTTATACTAACAGCAGGAAAGATTTCCTTCTCTTCAGGTAGGGAGGGAAGCCTATGGGAGACAGGTTTTAGCAGAGCAGGGAGTTCAGAGCAGTCTTCCCTGCTCTGTCCTGCTTTTGACTGTTGGTTAAAACAGGTTTTGAGGCTGGAGAACCCTGTTACACCAGGGAGAGTATGGCTTGTGTCTGCTGGTTGGTGTGTCTGGGAGGGGGGTGACATTTGTCAGCTGAGTTTGAGTCTGTCGCTATGTATATTTTAAGAAAACGTCAGAGGTCTTGAAGCAGCTTTGCAGTCCTGACGTAAATAAGCTGCTCATTTTTAACTGAGGGCCTAATTAGGAATTCCCCATTTAAAGTCGGGGCTAAATATCTTTCCTGGGGCAACGTGCCCCTGACACAGGAGGTCTGGTTGGATCCCCAGGACAAACTCTTCCAGCCAGAAGGTGCGCAAGTCTGTGAATCCACTTGCACTTGGCCTCCTGGTGTCCCACCTACAGCACCTGGTTCCTCTGCCCAAATGGGGCTTCAGACTCAGTGTCTGCCACCCCGGCTTTGAAAAGCACAGGTGTCTCTGGTGTCTCACAGGTGTCATCCTCACAAGAGGCGGAAAACAAAAACTTCCCTGTTGTAGGCTGTTGTGCTGTTTGGTGTAAAAGCCAAAAGACGGAGCTGTGTTTCAGTGGGGAAGGCTGGCCAGTGTCCCTTCGTGGTGGTGCTCTGCCACCATACTGGGGCATTTTCCCAGTCTGGCATGTTCCTCCTGTCTTATGAAGGCTTTTCCATGTTTGCCCTTAGTCTGGTCATCCTGCATGTGTTAGCAGCTTTATCTTCACCCTGCCGTGTAAGCTAGGAAAATGCTGTTTATTCTTTCCTTTTTGAAGGTGGAAAAGTGAAGCAGAAGAGAAATTGGGCCACAGAAAAAAGTCTTTAGTTGCTCTGTGCCTTAATCTCTAACCTGCTGTGATCTCGGCACCTCTTCTTATAGAGTTTGAAAGTACGTGCACATCACAAGGAAATCCTGAATTCCCACAAAATGGTAGCACTGGTTTCCTAGCCCTATACCAAAAGCAAACCTTTCCTGTTTGGGGTTTTCCTCTGTGGGGAATTCACAGTGGACGCTCTTTGGCTGGCTATTCAAAACAGCTTTGGGATTTCCTCTTTGGAAAGTTCCCATCTTCCCATTTTGCAATCTTGCAGGTCCAGTTTGCTCCTGCAATATCACTCCTGCCTTTTAAATTGCCTCTGAGGCGGAATCTGTCGGTTTGTCTGGTTAGTGCTCTCATTTCAGAGGTAACCTTATCTGATGAGAAAGGGCCCTGGTTTCTGAATTGTGCCATGAGGGAGACCTGGGCAAAGAAGAAAAATAAAACTTTGTTCTGCGATGACTGCTCCCTTCCTGCTTTCCCACACTCTTTTTTTGCGCAGAGTAAACGAGCTCTTGGTCTAATTCCGGCTGCCCGACTTGCTCCACACCAATTTCAGGACAAACAAGAGATTGCTCTTTCACCTGCCTTTGATTTCCTGAAGATGCTGCCAGTGGAAGAAGGCTTTGAGAATATTATTTTTTTTCTCTCTAAACGAGAAGGGTGGGGCGTCCTTCTGGCTACGCACGAAATTCTTCAAAGCAGAAAGTATTATATCAGATGCAGCAGCAGAACAAATCCCATGTGATCAGAAAGCTGATCAACGGGATGCCTGCTTAATTGGGATGCTTGCCAGAGACGAGATCTGGAACAGCGTGCTTAATAGCTCCAAACAATAGCTGAAAGCTTAGACGTTTTAAAGTGCATTTTCACCAGAAAAGCTACCGTGTAAAAAAAAAAGAAAGAAAGAAAAAAAAAACAAAAACAAAAACCCCAACCAACATCAAACACGTCCCTCCCCCCAAAAAAAAACCTAACCAAAACCACCAGCATGTCACATAGCAGCTTCTCACCGTGCTTCCTGAAACGGCATTGCATGTGTCTGTGAGCTTGCATCTAAACACTCACCACCAGATCTTCTTGCACCACTGCTGACGTCCAGCAAGAGCTAATCTTCCTGTCGAACCGAGAGCCGGGACCCCGATGATGGCTCTTTAATGACTGCTCAGAGAAGGACCGTGTCCCGGGTGGGCTGCCTGCCGCACGCTGCTGACGGAAGCTGCTAGGTGTGAATTAATGGTTGCTAGTGTGAGCTTATTTCTCCGAAGTCTCTGGTTGCTCTCTGATGTTGCTGCTAACCGTCCGTGCAAAGCTGAGAATCACATGAACGTTCGGTGCCCGCGATGCAGTTTTAAACAGACTGCTTCCTACAGCACTTTAAAACAAGTCAGGCAAGGACATGGAGCAGAGTATTTACTCAGCATGGTGT